CTCCGCATCATCGTAAGGATTCTGTGTCTTCAACAGTATCATCCAACGATGGTCAACAGAACCAACATTTTCATCCACACCAACCGCAATCACATCATACTAACCATAATCATACAAATCAGCACGCTCATTCGAGTTATGGATCTCATCATCCTCATGGTCGGCCACACCCACATTATAAACCCGGGGGAATACCCGGATCTGGTCAAGGTGTACCTAGTCAACATCAAAGGCCAAGAGATAGTAAAACCGGGTTAACTGGACCTGTTCAACCTTCTCCTACAATAAGTCCTGCTCAGCCGACAGTTCCGCCGCAAGGCGGGATTCCGTTAAGTGGACCACAACCTACAATGACGATGAACGTGAACGTGCAACAAATGTGGCCCTATCGTAGTGTAGGTGTACTTAATTTTGGCTTTCGAGTTTTTATGATTTATAATTTATTCCGTTGCCAACATAATTACTATGGATTATAGCTACCGCCGCAATATCCATATACACCGGCACCATTCTATCCAATGCTGCCTCAATCTTATGTGCCTACTGTTCAACGACCTAATATACCACAACATCACATACCGCAACAACCAACTGTTGCTCAGTTTACAGCACCATCTGGTGGTGCGAAAAGTCGTGCCATTCCAATAATTAATCCTGCTGATAATACTGCAGTAGTTGTACCAACACAAACTTCATCTACAGCCCCAAGCGTAAAGAAAGATGAGACACCTGTCACGGCTAATGATGTTAAAAAACTCGACGATGTGGATAAAGAGAAGGAAAAACAACTTCCTGATGATAAGAAAGATTCTAAAGCTATTAAGATTGTTAACCCTGCTGAAAAAGATAAAATAGAGCGGGAAAAAAAGGAAAAAGAGGAGAGAGAACAACGTGAGCGTGAAGAAAAGGAATGCATAGAACGAGAAGAAAAAGAGCGAAAAGAAAAAGAAAAGGAAGAAAAAGAACGAAGAGAACGAGAAGAAAAAGAACGCGAAGAGAAAGAACGTAAAGAGCAGGAAGAAAAAGAACGAAGAGAACGAGAAGAACGCGAAGAGAAAGAACGTAAAGAGCGCGAAGAAAAAGAACGTAAAGAACGCGAAGAAAAAGAACGTAAAGAACGTGAAGAAAAAGAACGCAAAGAACGTGAGGAGAAAGAACGCAAAGAACGTGAAGAGAAAGAACGCAAAGAACGTGAGGAAAAAGAACGCAAAGAACGTGAGGAAAAGGAACGCAAAGAGCGTGAGGAAAAAGAACGTAAAGAGCGTGAGGAGAGAGAGCGTAAAGAACGTGAGGAGAGAGAACGTAAAGAACGTGAAGAGAAAGAACGTAAAGAACAAGAGGAACGAGAAAGAAAAGAGCGTGAGGAAAAGGAACGTAAAGAACGAGAAGAAATTGAAAAGAAAAAGAAAGAAGAAAAAGAGCGAGAAGAAAAAGAACGGGAAGAAAAAGAGCGAGAAGAAAAAGAACGCGAAGAAAAAGAGCGGGAGGAAAAAGAGCGAGAAGAGCAAGAACGTATAAAACGAGAGAGAGAGGTTCGTGAAAAGGAAGAATCCGAGGAACAAGAACACAACGAACAAGAGGAGGTTGAAAAGATAAAAGAAGAAATTAAGGCAGAAACTGAAGAAACTGAAAAAAAAACGGAAGCAGAATTGGCAGATAAAAAAGATCCAAGAAAAGAAGAAAAAAAATTTGGCAAAGGACACCGACCTGGACCATTGGATTTATCTCGCACGACCTCTGCACCTGCTGGTCCACTTAGCAGTGCTCGCATAATTGATGATCTAAATTCTGTACAATATCCACCAAATATAAAATCACCTAATCCTAATTTGAACGCCAATGCTGTTCCTGGAAAATATAAATATGATCGCACTTTTTTAATGCAATTCATGAATGTTTGTAAAGAAAAACCCGAAAACTTACCCGCGCTTGACGCTATTGGTATGGATGAACCCAAAGATGACAAAAAAAGGTGTCACTGCGTCTTGTCCCCCAGCTTGAGTTAGCTGATGTCCGACTCGGCTATTACGTTTAGGATCACGTCTACTACCTCGTCCTGGGCTTGGAGGACTAGGACCTACTCCCATTGACGAGGGCGCGGGCAATAAAGTGCTTCCACTTCCAGTACGAGGGCCAAGCGTTGTTGATCTCCCAAAACCACTTGAACTTAAACTTGTCCTACCAGAAGTTGTAGCAGTTTGCATCATAAATCGGTCTTCATTGCTTTTTGGTGGAGACTTAAAGTCACCCATTTGTTGAAATTGCGATGCCTGGCTGGGGCTGTTTTTAGAATGTTGTGAAGGTGTGCGTGAGCCTAAACGTGAAGCGCCACTTCGTGCACCTTTTTTGTCATCTTTGGGTTCATCCATACCAATAGCGTCAAGCGCGGGTAAGTTTTCGGGTTTTTCTTTACAAACATTCATGAATTGCATTAAAAAAGTGCGATCATATTTATATTTTCCAGGAACAGCATTGGCGTTCAAATTAGGATTAGGTGATTTTATATTTGGTGGATATTGTACAGAATTTAGATCATCAATTATGCGAGCACTGCTAAGTGGACCAGCAGGTGCAGAGGTCGTGCGAGATAAATCCAATGGTCCAGGTCGGTGTCCTTTGCCAAATTTTTTTTCTTCTTTTCTTGGATCTTTTTTATCTGCCAATTCTGCTTCCGTTTTTTTTTCAGTTTCTTCAGTTTCTGCCTTAATTTCTTCTTTTATCTTTTCAACCTCCTCTTGTTCGTTGTGTTCTTGTTCCTCGGATTCTTCCTTTTCACGAACCTCTCTCTCTCGTTTTATACGTTCTTGCTCTTCTCGCTCTTTTTCCTCCCGCTCTTTTTCTTCGCGTTCTTTTTCTTCTCGCTCTTTTTCTTCCCGTTCTTTTTCTTCTCGCTCTTTTTCTTCTTTCTTTTTCTTTTCAATTTCTTCTCGTTCTTTACGTTCCTTTTCCTCACGCTCTTTTCTTTCTCGTTCCTCTTGTTCTTTACGTTCTTTCTCTTCACGTTCTTTACGTTCTCTCTCCTCACGTTCTTTACGCTCTCTCTCCTCACGCTCTTTACGTTCTTTTTCCTCACGCTCTTTGCGTTCCTTTTCCTCACGTTCTTTGCGTTCTTTTTCCTCACGTTCTTTGCGTTCTTTCTCTTCACGTTCTTTGCGTTCTTTCTCCTCACGTTCTTTGCGTTCTTTTTCTTCACGTTCTTTACGTTCTTTTTCTTCGCGTTCTTTACGTTCTTTTTCTTCGCGCTCTTTACGTTCTTTCTCTTCGCGTTCTTCTCGTTCTCTTCGTTCTTTTTCTTCCTGCTCTTTACGTTCTTTCTCTTCGCGTTCTTTTTCTTCTCGTTCTCTTCGTTCTTTTTCTTCCTTTTCTTTTTCTTTTCGCTCTTTTTCTTCTCGTTCTATGCATTCCTTTTCTTCACGCTCACGTTGTTCTCTCTCCTCTTTTTCCTTTTTTTCCCGCTCTATTTTATCTTTTTCAGCAGGGTTAACAATCTTAATAGCTTTAGAATCTTTCTTATCATCAGGAAGTTGTTTTTCCTTCTCTTTATCCACATCGTCGAGTTTTTTAACATCATTAGCCGTGACAGGTGTCTCATCTTTCTTTACGCTTGGGGCTGTAGATGAAGTTTGTGTTGGTACAACTACTGCAGTATTATCAGCAGGATTAATTATTGGAATGGCACGACTTTTCGCACCACCAGATGGTGCTGTAAACTGAGCAACAGTTGGTTGTTGCGGTATGTGATGTTGTGGTATATTAGGTCGTTGAACAGTAGGCACATAAGATTGAGGCAGCATTGGATAGAATGGTGCCGGTGTATATGGATATTGCGGCGGTAGCTATAATCCATAGTAATTATGTTGGCAACGGAATAAATTATAAATCATAAAAACTCGAAAGCCAAAATTAAGTACACCTACACTACGATAGGGCCACATTTGTTGCACGTTCACGTTCATCGTCATTGTAGGTTGTGGTCCACTTAACGGAATCCCGCCTTGCGGCGGAACTGTCGGCTGAGCAGGACTTATTGTAGGAGAAGGTTGAACAGGTCCAGTTAACCCGGTTTTACTATCTCTTGGCCTTTGATGTTGACTAGGTACACCTTGACCAGATCCGGGTATTCCCCCGGGTTTATAATGTGGGTGTGGCCGACCATGAGGATGATGAGATCCATAACTCGAATGAGCGTGCTGATTTGTATGATTATGGTTAGTATGATGTGATTGCGGTTGGTGTGGATGAAAATGTTGGTTCTGTTGACCATCGTTGGATGATACTGTTGAAGACACAGAATCCTTACGATGATGCGGAG